TGTCCTTTCACCTACTTAGTGAAAGGAAAGCGAAGAACCGGGAGACGGCAAGCGAGAAATTAAAGAAACCAGGCAGAGATACACACAAGAGTTTGTCAGAGCTGACAAATAAAGGCACATCTCTCCATAGATAGAGAAAGGCGTACAGACTTGGGTTGGAGACTTTTATAGGGGTGGCTCAGGGATTAGAGCCAGGAGGGTCCTAATGTGGACGATTAAGGGTGGAGTTAGTACCCCCTTGGGCAGGAAACAGTGCAGGTGGTGAAGGGTTGGGGTTGGTACGAGGGAGTGGTGAGCCTTTCTCAGAAAAGCCCTTGGGCAGGAAAAGCAAAACCTTTCCTTAAAATGGTGGCTGTCACTTAAGATGGCCACCCAGATGCTAAGCAAGGATCTTACACTTAGGTTTATTGATTCTTTTTCATCATGTTTGTTAAGTTTTACCTACATAGTTAAATGAGATAGTGTGGTTTTAATTTTGTTTTCTAATAGTTATTGCTGTTATATAGAAATAAGATTAATCTTTGGGTATTAGCTTTGCATCCTGTGACATTGGTAAACCTATTAATTAGTTCTAAGAGGTTTTTTGTTTRTTTAGAACCCTTAGATATTTCTATATAGACAATCATATCATCAGCAAATAGAGGCAGTTTGAATTCTTCTTTCGAATCTTTTATTTTCTTGCCTTATTGCACTGGTGAGGTCTGACTTCCAATACTGTTTTAAAGAGAAGTGGTGAGAGGAAGCAAGCAGCCTTGACTTTTTCCTAATGGTAGGGGGAAAGTACCTAATCTTTTATCATTATATATAATGTAATATTAGCTGGATGTTTTTGTAGATGTTCTTTACCAAGATGAGAAGGTTCCCTTCTAGACTCAGTTTGCTAAGTTTTGTTTTGTTTAAATCACGAATGAGTGTCAAATTTTGTCAAATGCCTTTTCAGATTCAATTGATATGATCACAACAGTAAAGGAAGATTTTCTTCTTTAGACTATTAACATGATGAATGACTTTGATTTTCAAATATTGGCCCAGCCTTGCATTCCTAGAATAAAGCACACTTGGCTATAGTATTTACTCTTTATTTGGATTTGATCTGTGTCTTAGCTGAGGTCACCATACCATGATAAAATACCACAGACTGGGTTAAACAATAAGAATTTATTTCTCCCAGTTCCAAAAGTTGGGAAGTCCAAGATTGAGGAGCTGATAGATTTGTTTCTTGGTTAGAGCTCTCTTTTTGACTTGTAGACGGCTGCCCTTTTGTCATGTTCTCACATGGCCTTTCCTCTGGTGTGAATTCTGTTGTGAGGGCCCTGTCCTCTTGATTTCATCTATACCTAATTAGTCACCAAAAGCCCCATCTCTAAATATATTTTGGATGACCAGGGCTTCAACATAGGAATGGGGAGCAGGGAATACAATTTTKCCCATAGGTTAAAAAGCTTTTCATCTATTTCATTTTTGGTGAGTACTCTGTTTTTTGAGTAATTTGTTTAATCCTTTAATATCATTTAAATGGGTTTGTAGTGATGGCCCCTCTTTTTTCCTTATATTTGTATTTTGTGTCAGTTTGGCTAAAATGTTGTCAATTTTATGGTGCTTTCAAAGACCTGGTTTTTAGCTTATTGATTTTCTTTATTGCTTTTTTATATTTTACTTTAATTTTGTTTTCATCTTTATTATTTTCTTCCTTATGTTTATTTTTGGGTGTATTTTTATTTTTATTTTTTTTTTAGTTTTTTGATGGGAACTTATATAGCTTGAGGACTTTTCTTTTTTTCTAGTATATGTCATTAGTACTATTAATCTCCTTTTCCAAAGAGGTTAATTCTTTAGCCATAAATTACAGACCTTTATGTGTTATTCTTTCACCTTCTTTCTGTGAAATATTTTTTCATTTCTCTTGAGATTTCCTCTTTGATCCATGRATTATTTAAAAGTGTGGAATTTAATTTCTAATAATTTGGAAAATTTTCTATTATCATTCTGTTATTGATTAATAGTTTGGTTCTTTGTGGCCAGAGAACTTACCTTGTTTGATTTTACTTATTTTAAAATTTACATTATTTCCCAGGATATGGTGTGTCTTAGCAAATATTAAACTTTTGCTAGGAAAGAGCTACATTTAATTTTCTTTTTTTAGTTGTAGATGGACACAATACCTTTATTTATTTATTTTTTTGTGGTGCTGAGGATTGAACCCTGTGCCTCACACATGTTAGGCAAGCCCTTCACCACTGAGCCACAACTCCAGCCCCAAGAACTATATTTTTTCCATCTTGTTTTTTCTCTTTTTTTTCCTCTGCATGTAAGACTGTTTGATATTATCCTACATCTCTTGATGTTATGTTCATTTTCCACCTTTTTTTCCTTTTAGTGTTTCACAGCATGAGTTCATTGGTTCTTTTCTCTGTCATATTCTTTTTCAGATAAGTTAGTAGAATAAACCATTCAGTTATGATATCATGCTTTTTATGTCTGGTGTTTTCAATTGGACTTTCAAAAATTATTATTCTTAGAGCAGCTTTAAGTTTACAGAAAAATTGCACAGAAAGTGAAATTCTAATACATCCCTTCCCACCATCCCCAATAGTTTTCTCTGTTATTAATAATCTCATATTAATGTGTATTTATTATAATTGATGAAGCAATATTGATACATTATAACCAACTAAGGTCCATAACTGGAGTAGTGTATGTGTGTGTGTGTGTGTGTGTGTGTTAGGAGAGAAGCATTGACTTAGTAGCCCTCTCCCACCATTATAGATTTTGACATTTGATTTCATGAATAAAAAGGCATTTACGACCATTAATGGTGTGATCACAAGCTGTTTCCTGCTTTTTGATTTGCTTTACATCATGTTGGGAGAATTCACATTACACTTATGAAATAACATTTTCAATGGCCACAGAATAAGTACACCATTATGCGTCCATACCATATTTTTAAAAAATCTTTATTTTATTTTTATGTGGTGCTGAGGATCAAACCCAGTGCCTCATGCATGCCAGGTGAGCGTGCTACCACTTGAGCCATATCCCCAGCCCCTAAACCGTATTTTAATGACACACTATTATAAAAGTTTTTTCAATTGACTTCACTTTTTCCCTATCGTAAGTCACACAATGAAAAATTTTGTGTTACATTTTTTGTGCTTCTGATATCTATTTCTTAAAATGTCCCCAAAGTAGAATTATTGGATTGAAGGGCATGGACATGTTTAATATTCTTAATTCATAAAACTATTCATCTTCAAAAAGATTAGTCTATATTTCCACTAGCAAGTTATGAATGTCCATGTTTCATTGCATTTTGGCCACCTCTGACTTTATTTAAAGACTCTGGCAATTTCAAAGTGATAAATTTCATTGATATTTTAATTTGCATTTTTTGGTGCTTATTGTGGTGGGATTTCCTTATATGTTTATCCACAGTTTGGATTTCTGTTGCCAGTTTTCTGAAGTATTTATATTTTTGTTACTAATTTATGAAAGCTCTTTTGGGGTTAATGATACTAACCATGTATCTGTAAGTATTTTGCAATTAATAGCTCCTGTTTTGTCACCTACCTTTAATTTTGCAGTATTACTTATGCAACACTCTGGATCCTGGGTTTCCACCTTTGAGATCACTGGGAACCTGTACCCTTGGGCTGGATCCTGGCTGTCATAGGGGGCACAGGCATTCATGTTAAAATTTTCAGGTCGTCCCAGCTGATTTTTTTTTTTTTTTTTTGCAAGGGATTGCATAGGCGGAATATATCAGTGAGGAACTGAGGAAGAAGAACTGAGGGGAGGAGCTGCATATTAACTTGTGAGGCACATCTCTAGGGCCTTCTAGGGGTTTGCTGTGTTGGGTACTGGAGTTTCTGTAGCATCTAGTAGAGGGAGAAACCAGGACAGGATAATGATGGGTGACCCTACAGAATGGTGAAGCCTGGAAAGAAAACAATTTGTGTTTATAAAGATTCTACTAGGAATATGCAGAGTTTGGTTGGTGGAGTTTCCTCCAATCGAAAGGGAACAGAACCAAAACTCCCCGTTGAGTTTTCCCTCTCTCCAGACACTGCCTACATTTTGCATCTGAGGGCAGGAAGAGCTCTGCCCATTCTCTCCCCTTCTAATTTCCCTAATTTCTCTCCTCTTTTCTGTGAACAGAGTCCCTTTCCCTTGATATCACCTAAGTTAGGCTGCAATTTTCCAAAATGGACCTTATTAAAACAAGGGGAGAAGGGAAAATTAAGAGGTAAAAAAAATTTTAAAAGCACACACACACACACACACACACACACACACACACACACCAGACACATTGGTTATAAACCAGTGCTTTCCCCAAGATCATTTCAATCAGCCTCGTGTACTCTAAGTGGCACACTTCGTAGGTGGGTAGATATAGGTTTGTTTCTTCCTTTGCAGGACTGTTTCACTCTAAGATTCTCTACTTTGCAGTTTGTGGGTTTCTAGTTTTGCTTTTCCCTCTAGTCCTCTAGTCACTTCCACAGCCCAGGAAGATCATGGCTAATTACTAGTTGATGGTTCATTCCTCAGCAATAAATTCAGTTAATCAACAAATATACTAGAACTAACTTTATTGAAAGATTACTATATGCCAGGCCCTGTACTAAGCACTTTTCATAAATTATCTCATTTCATCATTGCAACTTCCATGTGAGGAAGAATTATAAACCTCAGAAATTAAATGACTGGCAAAAATTTATGAATCTAATAATCAGTAAAAAACAAGGCTCTTATTCTGGTTTGTCTGGCACTGAAATCCAAGCTCTTCACTACTGCATCCTACCATCACACTTGTTTGTCTCAAATAACATCACCATTCATATAGCAGATGGCAGGTACCCTGTACCTCTCCCACTTTGCTTGGGTGAAGAGCTGGCTTGACAGAGCCAGTTCTTCCTCGCCTCATGGAAGAGTCTTGGGGAGTGGGTGATTGTAAGTCTTGCTTTTTTTTTTTTTTAACTCTCCAGGTCTTGAAAGCCTCACTCTGGAGCCCYGCTCCATCCCATCAGTTTGAGGAAAGCCTTCTTCACATCCTTGTTCCTTAGACTGTAGATGACAGGATTGAGGAAGGCTGTGGCAATATTATAGAAAAGAGCCATTTTCTTGCCACTGTTTGATAAGGACCCAGAGCCAGGGCTCATGTACATGAGGATACATGGAATGGCGAACATGGTGACCACAGTGATGTGGGAGGCACAGGCACAGAAGGCCTTGATCCTCCCCTGGGCTGAACGGATCTTCAGGATGGTGGCAAAGATGTTGGCATAGACGATGACAACCAGGGTGAGTGGAACCACAATGACATTGAAGCCTGTGATGAAGTCCACCAAGTCATTGAGGGATGTGTCTGCACAGGCCAGCTTCAGAACAGCAGGAACCTCACAGAAGTAGTGGTCAATTTCATTAGGACCACAGTAGGGCAGGTACATAGCAAAGAAGGTATAGCAAAGGCCACCCACCACACCATAGGCTGCACAGACACCCACCAAAAGTAGACACATCCTACGGCTCATGATGACCTTGTATCGGAGAGGGTGGCAGATGGCCACATACCTGTCCACAGACATGATGGAGAAAAGCCAGGACTCCGTAACCCCAAAGAGGAGGAAGATGTACATCTGGGCCACACATCTAGCAAAAGAGATGGTCCTCTTCTTGCTGAGAATATGCACAAGCATCTGGGGCACAGTAGTGGTGGTGTAGCACACGTCCAGCAGGGAGAGGACACTGATGAAAAAGTACATGGGTGTGTGGAGACGCAAGTCCTGGTGGATGAGTGTGATAAGGAGACTGTTGCTCACAAGGATCAGCAGGTAGAAAACTAAAAAGAAGGTGAAGAGCAGAGGGTTGGTCCTGGGGTTGGATGTGAAKCCCAGTAGAATGAATTCTGTCACAGTGGACTGGTTGAGTTCCTGCATTGTGATCTTCCTGTTTTTAAAGAGTTTTTAGGATATGGAATTTATTGAGTGCCTGTGTCAAGAGTATGTAAGGTGGGATGGGGATGTGGCTCAAGCGGTAGCGCGCTCACCTGGCATGCGTGCGGCCCRGGTTCGATCCTCAGCACCACATACAAACAAAGATGTTGTGTCTGCCGATAACTAAAAAATAAATATTAAAATTCTCTCTCTCTCTCTCTCTCTTAAAAAAAAAGAGTACGTAAGGAATTTGCACACCCATTGTTTCATTTACATTTTCTAACAGTATCAGGAAACTTTGGATTGAAACGTGGAAATACCAAAAATAATTCCCAGTTGTAGTTTGAATGATGTTGGGATGAGATTCAGGATTTACTGAGAGTCACACTGATGCAAATGGTATTTCCAGTCAGTCCAGGGTAGCAGCGTAGACCATGTTCCAATCTGGCCCATGGGAATCTGTTTCTCCTTTTCCTGACTCAACTTTATTTTTTTTCTGCTGTTGACTCCATTTTCCTTTTTCTCTTGGGACTATAGAAGTTGCTAAGTCCTATGTGGATGAAGATCAGGATCAGAGTTGGGAATATTAAATTCATTATTTGGATTAATGTTTTTTTTATCATTATTCAGATGAGATTTAAGGACATTGGGCACTAAATTAAATATTAAGTACAATAAAGATTAGAGTTAAAATTTAACATTTAGTTTTCTAAACTGAATCTTCACTGAGTTTCGATGGCATTGATTATGTCAGTCATTCAATAATTTTTTATCAACATGTTCACTATGACATTGTCTTAACAAATATGAAGGTTGTTTTTCTTAAATGTTGGGGCAGGATATTTTATAGTTAAGAGAAGATCTTGGATAAAATGAGTTTGGCTCTATAAACAATTTTTGGAATTACCAATATAAGAATAATCCTAGTGCATACATACAAAGGAGATATAATCTTAAATTAATTATAAAAATAATTAATTGCACAATTAATTGCACAATTAATTGCACAATTAATTATTTTTTTGTCATGCTTTCTTAATTAGAAATACTACAAAGACTTGTCTTTCACACTGTCAGTGTGGTGCCAATAAACTGGTTTTGCTGTGTTGGAGACAATGAACATCAGGAGATTCAAATTTTTTTCCCTGTGGTTGAGTCTACCTTTTAATATTCATTGTTGTTCTGCTTTATGACTCAAAAATATTTGCTTTGTTCCTAACATACTCAAAATTCTAGGGATTGTAGGAAACTCTGCAGGACGAAATCCATAAAATGGTTTTGTGAAAGGGCAATTTTTGCTAAGAGCTGATGATATGTGGCTGGGCAGAATATCTCAAGGTGTCTGTTTTTGACTGGGACCCCTTTTAGTACCCTGGCTTCATAGATTCCTTTTRAATTTCTGTTTTCTGAACTGTCACAGAGACATTTAATATGGCATATATAGAAACTATCTTGACTTTATAAAGAATATCTGGCATAAACCAAAAGCCAACACTATGCTTCATATGAACACTATACAGTTGAGGACATTAAGGAGGACCTGCAGGCCAAATATAACCTTAGACCTGTTTTGTTTGGTTGTTTAGTTTTTAAAAGGGGTGCTTTACCACTGAGCCACATCCCTAGCTCTTTTTATTATTAATTTTTAAATTTTGCAATAGGGTCCTGCTAAATTGCTTAGAATCTCACTAAATTATGAGGCTGGCCTCAAAGTTGTGATTCTCTTGCCTCAGCCTGCTGTATCTCTGGGATTACAGATATGCACAACTGTGCCAGGCTTAACTGCCAAAATTTTACTTATACGTAAAAAAGTAGATCTTCTATAGGAAAGATCAGTGGAGTAGAAGGCAGCTATCAATAGGGARGGAGAAGAGATAGGAAAAGGGAAGAAAAGCGAATGAATTTAACAAAACCACACTGTTCATACATATATGAATGTATCACTGGGAATTCCACTTTTATGTATATGTAGAAAGTACCAATTAAAAATAAATAAACGAGTGAAAGAAAGATCAGTAGAGGAAGGGAAATAGGGAAAGGGAAGAGTGGAAGGAACTGGAAATGAAAATGGAATGAATCAAATTTCATGCATGTCTGATTTTTTTCAAAACGAACCCAACTATTATGTATAACTATAATGCTCTAAACAGACAAAAAAGTAAAAGAAAAAAAGAAAAAAACTAAATTAGATCTTCAGGATCATAAATTTGGCCATAATGGGTCCAGGTTTCTATTATTGACAATGGTCAGGAGGCATGTGACTSTCCTTTTTCATGGAGCATGAACTCTTCCCCTCCCAGTGTGAAGTATTTCTTATCATTCATTAATACTTTTTATAGATTAGATTAGCTTTGCTTTATACATTTACATTGCTTTTTGAGCCCCTGTCCATGTGAACTTGTGGTTCCCATTCTAATGATGAACTATAATTATGGGCTGCTCTATCCATTGTTATATAATATTACTGAGAAAATTTTTTAGCCAAATAAAGAATAGTTATGAGAGAGGAAAATCAGAAATGGAGAAAGACAGTGGTCCTGGAGAAGGCTCTGAGAAGAATGGAATAGAGTGTCCTCCAGCTCTCCACCACAGTGGACCTAGGGAATCAGCCTGTGTAGTTTCATGTTAAATCATTGGTTGGTTAATGCAAACCTGTTTTGCATAGGAGATTACCTGGGAGGAAACAGACCAAGAGTGAAAGCCTAGGTGAGCTGCATGCATATGGAGAAGGTGGATTGGGAAACAGACTGGAAACCCACGTTGGAATGACTCATCCCAGAGCCAGACTAGGCAGTTACAGAGAAGATGGTCATTAGGCGAAAAGACAGGTGGGCCCAGATCCTGTCTTCCTGAGGCTGTTGGACCCCTGAGGCAGAAAAACTAAGGAGAAACCAGGCTCAAGCTTGGGCTGTTGTGGAATTGGACAGTGCAGTGGGGCAGAGAGAACCCTGGATTTGGAGTCAGGATGACCAAGGCCCCAGGAGCAGCTTTGCCATTCCTGCTGTGTGTCCCATGCAAGTTATGTCACCTCTCTGAGCCTTAGTAGCCTCATCTGTACAGGGAATGCCACAAAGTGTTTGGGAGGTTGGGGGACCATAAAGAGTCTTGGGTCCATGCCAATAAATAAAGTAGATGCTGGATAAATACTGAAAACACACAAGGGACCTGCTGGTGACTGCACAAGAGGTGGGAACACAAAATGCAGAGATACTTCTTTGCCTTCTAAACCATCATGAGAACCCAGCAAATATGCCAGCTGAAAAGGGGAGGAAGCAGATTGGCCTGGGATGGCCTGCTCTGGGCTCTAGCTGCTCCGACCATCTCTGTGCCCAAGGATCTATCTGCAGGTTTGCTCACAAGAGGTCTCCACCCCAGCTGCGGGACTTACTGTAGAGGAGCCCATGGCCAGACCGAGACTGCCTGCTGCTACCAGTTCACTGCCCTCTTCCCCCAGCCTGCCACCCACCTAGGGCAGGAAGCAACTTTATCATTATTAACAATAAAGGAGGCCAGCCTTCTGAATGTGCATGAAAGGTCTTTACATTTGTCCCAACCAATTGTCAGGGTCACAACACCCATTAAGTCCTGGTAAAAGTCGAGCCTTTGTTCTTTCTAATCTCTAATTTGCTGTGTGACTTTGGGTAAGTCATCTAATGTCCGTGGCCCTTGTGATCTCATCTGTGAAATGAGGAGGTGGATAYTCTGCAGTGATGCCTCTTGGATGCACGATGAACACTTTCTATCTATCTATGCCTAGATTTGGGGCCAGGAGATGGTGTTGCAGAGATAGAACCCACAGTCCCACCTCTCCATGGGTGCCTCATACGGACTGTCCTCAGCCTGAGGACATGGGAAGCTGAGCCTGGCAGGAAGTGTGTGTAGTGAGGGGATGCTGTCTTCTAGAACTGGCCATTCCTGAGAACAGAACTGAAAATGCGTTTTGGAGTGAGTGGACCTGTAGCTTTGAGAGACTTAAGTCTTACAATTTCACCGTTATGCATTTTCAAACTTTTTAAAGCCCTATAACTTTTTTTTTGGTCAAAGGCCAAGTTCTACAGAAGCTTTGAAACCATTCTATACACCTCTACTGGAAACGCAGGATCCCCGGTGACTCCTCTTACTAATTAAATGTYCCTTGAAACTCAATTTGATAATTGCTAGTACAAATTCTCTCACCAAAGCCCAGAGAGGGGAAGACACTGGGCTGAGTCTGCACAGCAAGGGGGTGCCTAATTAGGGGSGTACCAATTGTGTTGTTCCCCAGCGCAGACCCCTACAGCACCAAATGCTGCTCTCAGAGGTGAGCCAGGACATGGGACTCAGAGACAAGGAATCTGATGCTACAAACCACATCAGCTCTGAGATATGGGGATCTTTAATAAATAAGAGCTATGATGATGAGAGGACACCCCATTCTTACCTGCAGCATGTGCCTGCAGGCTGGGGGCAGGGGAAGCAGAGAAGATGCAGGTGGCAAGTCCCTGTTCCCCAGGACTCCTTGGCTTTTGATGAATTGGTGTCTTCATCCAGAGCAGTCCATGGGAACTGGGTTTTCTTCTCACTTTCCTTGGTTGGCTTGCTGAATGCCTTGGGGCCAACTGCTTGGCCTCTCTGAGCCTTAAGTTCTGACTCCGTCACAGCTGGGTTTAATGATGATCTGTTGTCAATGAGAAGATAGAAGTGGATTGTGTGGTTGCAAGGTCCTGGCAGAGGGCAAGTCTCTAGCTCCCTGGGTGGCTGGGAATTGGGGTCAGGGGACTATCCTTGGTTACTTGCCAAAATATAATGAAAATCAGAGAAAAGCTGATTTTTTTTTTTTTACTGGACCTTTTTATTTATCTCCTCCTATCAGATCTCCTCTCCTGCAGCATCTACAAGGAGATGAAAGACTCAAAACAGCTGGTTTGAATTTCTCCCTTTGCCATTTACTGGCCGCAACTCTGAGCAGTGATTGTTCCTTATCTTTAGAAAGAGGAGGTTGAGTGAAATAAGATCCATTTCTA